CTTCCATACTTTTGTACGGTAATTTCATCTTTGTTGATGTTTCGCAATGTTTAATGTTGCTTTATTGAATTGTAAGGTTATTTGAATTGATGTTTTTATTGAATTATCCTTTGCTCATATCAACATGGCTACTGGAATACTAAAAATACTACCTGCGTGCTTCTGAAGAATTTTAGTCTCTCCCTCTCTCTATGTATATATATATTACACAAAACATTGTGAACTAAATTAACGAACATGTTACTATGTTATTAGCACATAACTCCTCCGTATTCGGTTACCAGAAATACTGTCCTTGAAATGGAAAAATACTGATAGATTTTATAGTGTAACTCCTTTTTTATCTCGCTATCCTTTTTAGTAAAACGGTAGATTTGGTATGTTTAAGACCAAATGCTGAATAGCCCACTTTCATTCATCATAACACAAAAAATAACTGTTGTATATCCATTTTTAGGCTAAGAAATACCAACCATCCGCACTTCATTAAAAATAAAGTACTATGACCCATATTGTTTCTGCAATACGGTTCCATAAAAGAAACAGAATCTCTCCACATAATTACTGTATATTTTTCTAAAACCTGATTAAAAAATAAAACAATAACGTTGAGCTGACTAAGTCTATAAGACTAAAAACAACTGAGGTTGAAACTAATTGAATTATTATATATAAAACAATACCTTAGGGTTTGTTTCAGCTAAGTTATGATGTTCTAAAATATCTATATATATACAGCCAAGGGCGTAGTTGAAAATTCTTCTTTGTTGTCTCTTTTCCCTTTTGTAAAGATAAACGATTATTTTATGCAGGACGCTCCATCAATGTTTTAAAATCGGGGTGATTTGAGGATATTTGGGGGAAGAAATGGCAAGAAAACACTAGTATCTTTAAATTAAGACAATTTTTTTTTTGAAACAGTTATTACCCTGTGAATAGTTGCCTTGTATTCCAAAATTTGTATAAATGTAGGATCGTTACCTGATGCATTTCACTAATAGGTTACAGAGACGAGCCCCCCCCCCCCCCCAGTGGCACAGCGGTATGTCTGCGAACTTACAACGCTAGAAACCGGGTTTTAATACCCGTGGTGGGAAGAGCACAGATAGTTCATTGTGTAGCTTTGTGCTTAACTTCAAACAAACAAATACAGAAGCGAATAAACAGCAAGGTCAAAAAGCACAAGTTACCGTACTGTGTTTCATATCGATAGCTGTAAAAGTAAAGCAATTTCATTTGTTTGTATGTGGGACTTGAGTCCGCCATGAGTTGTTATTTATATACATGTTTGAGAACAAATGCATTAATTGTAAAGATGTTAAATACATTTTGAATAAAATTCGAATTTCATGTGATGAAGTGACAGCAAAAATTATTTTCCAAGAAAACTTTAATGTTTTTTCGTTAAATTCTATATACAATTCTAACATTAAATTTTTATTGTTTGTTTGTTTTGAATTTCGCGCAAAGCTACACGAGGGCTATCTGCGCTAGCCCTCCCTAATTTGGCAGTGTTAGACTAGTGGGAAGGCAGCTAGTCATCACCACCCACCGCCAACTCTTGGGCT